ACCCCCTGTGTTGGTGTTGGTGCCAACTTCCAGGCCTCCAAAAGGAGGTCCCCACGGTCTCCAGAGCACCCCATCACGAGCCCCACAAGTGCGCGAGACGCTGGGGGGGGGCACCTCTGGCCAGGGCCACCTGCGGCACCCCCCGAAGAGAGTGACATGAGCATAAACTCTCGGAGGAGGAGGAGGAGGAGGAGGGGGAGGAGGAGGGAGGTCCTCGCGGATGTCTCGGATCGGCGCTGGGCCCCCCTTGGCGGCGCCCTCGGCGCCGACCCTGGCGCGCTTCCCGCGCGCCAGGGAGGGGGTGCGGCGTCGATCCAGGAAAGCCGCGCGGACCCCCGGCAGTTTATGTTCTTGCCATGACAGTTAGGTTGGGCCTGTCCCTCTACAGGAGGAGTCTTCAAAAATAGGAAAAATAATCGGGGGACGATTTTTGTACTATCGTCCACTAGTGTTGAGTATGTTCTGACTATGTTTTATTTGTCCTCCAAAATCTGCCAATAGGGGGGCATGCCCGACCTAACAGCACAGTCGAGCATCCGATTCAGAAACCTCCTCCCGAAACGCTGGGCCAACGTTTCTTGCCTAGCTTGCCGAACAGCTGGCCCAGTTCCTCGAGCACGCTCGCCCCATCCCAGTGTTCACGGCAGAAATTTTGGCCCAGGTGTTGTTTCAAGACGCTTCTGGGCATTTGGCCCAGATTTCTTGGACGATCGTTCTCTTGGTCATATGCTTGAGTCGGGGCGAGGCGTACTCAGACATAGTCAAAACATGGCCTGGGGGGCGATTTTCGGATGATTTTGCTTGGCTACTTTTGCATATTTATGTTTTTTGGGGCTTCTCGTCAAAAAGAACATGCCCGACCTGATCACATGCTCGGCTGCATCTGCTCCCCGACGTCAGGCCGGCGGGGAGGCTCTGGGCTCCCTCGCCTCCCCTCGCGCCGGCCCCCGCTGGTGTGAAGTCGGGCCTGTCCCCTACAGGGGGATTTTCGACGAAAAATAAAGAATACCCCCAATATAATCCGAAAATAGTCCAACAATAATATGGGGACTATTTTTTGTGGGTACTTTTTTTTGATCTTTTTGGGCTATTTTTGGGGTATGTTTTATGTTTCGTCGAAATTTCCCCTGTAGGGGGACACGCCCGACCTAACGCTGGTGCCCGCCCCCTCGCCACTGTCTCGGGTCGAACGGAAGGGGGGGATAGGAAAAGGTTGCGAAATCTGCTGCGTGCGGCTGGTTTCGGCCCCGCCGCCGAGCCCATTCCTCGATACGTGGCCGCCTCTGGCGCTGGGAGGCGCCTGGAAAATCAGCTACGTGAGCTGATTCTCACCCCCCCCTCTGCTATCCCCCCCTTTCGCCCGGCCCGACTGTCTGCCTCCTCCCACGCTCCGTCGCCCCCTCTGCAGCAGCAGCTTGACACGGGCCCTTCTCTCTTCTCTCACCGGGCCCTCCGTCGGGCGCGTCCCGCTACAGGAGGAATATCCGAGAACGGTGAACAAACCAGTCTGGTGACGATTCTTTGTGTGTGTGTGTTTTTGTTTGGGGTATTTTTGATTCTTGCTTGACTACTTTTTCTTTTTATTCCCGAATCGGCCTGTAGGAGGACATGCCCGACTTGACCCTGGCCCCCACTCCCACATGCGTTTTTTTTGGTTTTGCCCCAGAGGCTTACGCCATTCCGCCGGTCCCCAGAATGACACTGTTTCGTCACGCCGGCCTGCAGGGGAACAAGTTGGAAGCAGATTTGCTAAACGGTGGGTGTCCTGGGTCAGGGCCTCGAGAAGCGAATTGCCGAAGACCTGGTCTGATTGGGGCAGTGTGTTGGGCCTTCTTGGGGCAGCTTGGGCTCCTGTGGGTATCCCTCGGGGCGTTTTGGGGCCATCTCGGCGTGCCCTCGGCGGCACTCGGGCTGTTGTGGAGGGTATGCAGGCCGCTTGGGAGAGATCGTCTTGCGGCCATCTCGGGCTGTCTTGCAGCTGCATTGGGGCGGTGGATGCCAGCTGGGAGCTTTGCCGGCCATCAGCGGGGCACCTTGGGCTGCCCTAGCGTCTCGTGTGGGCCTGTTGCGCTCTTTGGAGGCTTCTGGGGGTCATAGTGGGGCCATCTTGATCCGAGCAGTGTGGGATGCCACAAAGAACCCACCCCCAAAAAAACAAACAGCTCACGTTGCCTGCTGAAGGGGGGCCGCGCGGAGGCATTTTTGAGACCCCAGTGGCCTGATAGGGGCCATCTTGGTGTCCTCTCGAGGCCCCTAAAGGCAGCTCCAGGGGCAGCTGGTCATCATGGAATATCCTGTGGGACACCTTGGGCAACCTTGGAGCCATTCAGAGAGCCTTTGGGGCATAGTGCACGTAGTGTTACGGGGAGCTTTTTGGACGTTTAAGATGCGTTGGCGGGCTTCCCCCGTGGTCTCATCCCCTCGGCTAATGGGAGGTTGAACCTCCAGTAACAGGGAGTTGGGTGAGGGGGCCAGCCAAACATCTCACCCGCCGTGCCATCCCGGCAAGGGGGTCGGCAGATCCTCTGAAAGGTGTTTGTGGCACGCATCTTCCACTCGGGAAGTGCTCGGTCGTTCCGAATTGCGCTCTCGCGTGGGCGCCCGTTCAAACCCTTGCCCTCTACAACTACTCATGGTGAGTAATTGTTGGGGGGTGGACCGTCCCTCCCTTCCCCATCCCCGATCATCTGCCCTTTGCTCTCTTGCTCACTTTCGTACCCACCTCCGTGCAGCTGGCGCGCGGCGCGTCGGAGCAGTTCGGCCCGTCGAGGAGGGGCAGAAAAGGCAGTCGGCGCGCGAGGGGAGGAGGAGGAGGAGGAGGAGGAGGAGGAGGAGGAGGAGGAGGAGGAGGAGGAGGAGGAGGAGCAGGAGGAGGAGGAGGAGGAGCAGGAGAAGGAGGAGGAGGATGGGGAGGAGGAGGGGGAGGAGGAGGAGGAGGAAGAGGAGGATGACTACTACTACTACTACTACTACTACTACTACTACTACTACTACTACTACTACTACTACTACTACTACTACTACTACTACTACTACTACTAGTAATACTAATACTACTAATACTACTAATATTGTTACTAATAGTGGTAATACTACTAGTGATACGAATAGTAGTAATAACAATTTTACTTTTAATACTAATAATGTCAATGATAATGTTACTAATAGGAATAACAACACTAATAATCATACTTAGGGTTAGAAGAAGACGAAGAGGAAAATGATGATGACGAGGATGAGGAGTACTACTAATACTATCACAACTAATACGACGAATAATAATAGTAATAATAGTATTAATAATGATGTCGATAAGAAGAGTAGTACTGATAAGGAGAAGAAAGATACTGATACTATGGATAAGAAGAAGAATACCAAGACGACCCATTAGAATGATACCATTAAAAGTATGCTTAGCACTAACAATACAAATTAGTCATACGAAGAAAAATCAATCAATATAACACAACGAATAATTATAAAACATAGAAGAAGAGGAGGATGAGGAGGAGGAGTGGGAGGGGGAGGAGGATGAGGAGGAGGAGGAGGAGGAGGAGGAGAAGGAGGCGATGAAGGCGTTGGGTTAGTGAGCAGAGTGCGCAGGACAGTCTCAATGCAGCAAGTCTCCGGTCTACACAAGAGAAGCTACGGGGGTGGGGAGGGGAGGGACGAGGCGCTCTGCGATTTGACGGCAAGGCTGACATAGGGAGGACACGTCCGGGAACGGAACTTTCGGGTGGAGCCGATAGCAGGAGGCCGAAGGAAATACCACGAACGGTGAGGCCGGCAGGAATTGAAGGCCATGTGCCAGCAGGCCCACGAGGAACTTGAAAGCCATGGGCCAGCAGGCCCACGAGCAGCAGACCCGACGAAGCCTGACATATCGCGATAGAGCCAACGCAGATGCAGTACAGCGAAAGTGCGCGGCGAGACGTAGAAGCCGGCCCGCGGTTCTGTGGTCCAGAGTCGTGACATGTTCAGTCATAGTTGTGGTGTTGCCTCTGCGATCGTTCAGCATGGATGGGTATGGCGACGATGACAGCTCCGCTTCGTCATGATCATGGCAGTGCTGGTGATTATAGCGCCGGGTGTGACAGGGAGCATTCGCTGAGGTATACGCGATCTGATCACTCCACGGAGGGAATCGAAACGTTGAAGGCCTTCGCTTAAGGATTTCCTTTGGGTGTTGCCCATCGGGAGATTCGGCATGACACCAGGCTGCAGGTCCTTGCGTGCCTTGGCCGTCAGCCTCTGCATTGCCAGTGCCCGCAAGTCGTGCGCATGGCTGCCTCTCCTCCCTCTCCGCCCGCCGCTGTGCTGGCGTCGCGCAGGAGACTCGTCGGAGCAGCTGCTGCATGGCCCCGGGGCTGCCGCACTGCACATCGGCGAGAGGCTCAGCATCCACCCTGTGCGGCTGGACCATCCGAGGGCCCACATGGGTTACAGGTCCTTTCCCTGGAGAAGGACACGTTCAGGAGGCGAAAGAACACACACTCCGAGACGAGTAATCGTCGATTCCCCAGGGAATGTGGGAACAGGTGGGACGTGGGGGGGAAGACAAAAACCAGAGACCATATGGGACAATGTGGGGAATCCTGTCATTTGTGTCTGTTCATTTGTGTGTCCCGGGTCCTCCTCCTCCTCCTCCTCCTCCTCCTCCTCCTCCTCCTCCTCCTCCAGGTCCCCTCCAAGGGTGCCCGTCTCCGTACTTGGCTTCCGTCCGTCCCCCCGGGAGGCCGACGCGGGCAGGCCTCCCTCCGCCAGTCCCGTCGCAGGGCCTGCTGCCTCTGCTCCTCCGCCTCGCCTCCCGCCTCGCCTCCCGCCGCGCCTCCTGCCCCTCCTGGTCTTCGTCGCGTCCTCGTCCTCGTCGTGCCTTCCTCCTCCTCCTCCTCCTCCTCCTCCTTGTCTGGCTGCCGTCCCCCTTCGCATCCTCCTCGGCCCCCTCCTCCCGGACCGTGGGCCGGGATGTGGGGGTGAGGGCGCTCCCCTGCGACGGCTGCAGATCTGGTACAAAATCTTGGGCTGGTGGCTCTCCGCTTTTTTCGTTTCTCTCAGCACCTCCTCCCCTTGGACTGCCCTCCCCCCTCCCCCTCCCTATCAGTCTGAGCAACTTTCCGAGGTTACGCCTGCATCCTCCCCCTTCGGCCCATCCTTGACCGCTTTCGCTGGCCTCGCCCCGTTCTCGCAAAATTCTCGACATGGCCTTCCAAGGCCCTTGCATCCTCATCGTGGCACCCAGCCCCTATCAGCCGAATAGGTAGGTCACTGGAAAGAATCGGTGACCGAAAACGTGCCCGAAGTAGTGATCGAAATCGTAGCGTGACCGAAACTGCAAGCGACATTGAGAATCGTCTTGATTTCGGACCAAACATTTCGGTCACACTCGAGCGCTTCAGGGCGCCAGTTTCGGGCACACTCGGGGCCGATTTTCGGGCAAGGAGGAGGAGGAGGGGGAGGGTGGGGGGAACGGGGAGGGGGAGGGAGAAGAGGACGAGGGGGAGGAGGAGGAGGAGGAGGAGGAGGAGGAGGAGGGAGGAGGAGGAGGAGGAGGAGGAGGAGGAGGAGGAGGAGGAGGAGGAGGAAGGAAGAGGAGGAGGAGGAGGAGGAGGAGGAGGAGGAGGAGGATGGAGGAGGAGGAGGAGGAGGAGGAGGAGGAGGGGAGGAGGAGGAGGAGGAGGAGGAGGAGGAGGAGGAGGAGGAGGAGGAGGAGGAGGAGGAGGAGGAGAGGAGGAGGAGGAGAGGAGGAGGAGGAGGAGGAGGAGTTGGAGGAGGAGGAGGAGGACGAGGAGGAGGAGGAGGAGGAGGAGGAGGAGGAGGAGGAGGAGGAGGAGGAGGAGTTGGAGGAGGAGGAGGAGGAGGAGAAGGAGGAGGAGGAGGACGAGGACGAGGAGGAGGAGGAATAATAATAATACTACTACTAAGAATAGTAATACTAATACTTATACGAATAATAAAACTATTAATAATACTACAACGAATAATAACAGTAATAAGAAAACTAAGAATATTCAGAATACTACTATTAAATAAGAAGAATAATACTAACATAAGAAGAATAATAATAATACGACTAAGGCTAATAATACTATTAATATTGATAATAATAACCATAATAATATAAATTATAGTAGTAATACGATTAATAATAATACTACGACTATTAATAATGATAATAATAGTAGTAATGATAATACTAATACTAATAAACTAATAATAATGCTAATGAGAATAAGAATGCGAATGCTAATAATAATAAGAATAAGAAGACTAATACCAATAAGAAGACGAACACTAATATTAATAATATTAATAATACTAATACTACTACTACTAATAATAATAATACTACTACTAATAATAATACTCATACTAATAATAATACTAATAATACTAGTAAGAAGAAGAAGAATCATACTAATAATAAGAAGAAGAAGCATAATACTAATAATACTAATCATACTACTAATAATAGTACGAATGAGAAGAGGAGGAGGAGGAGGAGGAGGAGGAGGAGGAGGAGGAGGAGGAGGAGGAGGAGGACGTGGAGGAGGAGGAGGAGGAGGCGGCGGCGGTCGCGACGACGCCGACAGAGACGAGGCCACGTGATCCTCGTCGCGTGCCCTTCTTAGGAGGGCGCGCCCCTCGAGGGGGGCGGCGGGCGCCGGCATCGGGCGACAGCGGGGGCAGGGCTTCGCCTGCCCCGCCTCGGAGACCGGGTGCTGCGCGAAGTACTGCGCCTCGAAGGGCAAGGGCCTCCTCTTCCACATCAAGTACGCCGCGAGGCAGCGCAGAGGCGCGGCCCGCTCTCCCTGCCCCCCCCCTTCCTTCCCCCTCCCCCATTCCCCCTTCCTTCCCCTCCTCCCCTCCTCCTCCTCCTCCTTCCTCCTCCTCCTCCTCCTCCTCCCCTCCTCCTCCCCTCCCTCCTCCTGCTCCTCCTCCTCCCTCCTCCTCCCCTCCTCCTCCTCCCTCCTCCTTCCTTCCCTGCTCCCGCTCCTGCCTGCCCCTGAACCCCTGAACGCAGGGAACCACGACGCTTCTCGCTCCTTCCACGCTTCTCGCTTCCACGCTTCTCGCTCCTTCTCCCTCCCTCCCGCCTCCTCCACCTCCTCCTCCTCCCTCCTCCTGCTCCTCCTTCTCCTCCTCCTCCTTCCTCCCCCCTGCTCCCGCTCCTGCCTTCCCCTGAACGCAGCCAGCCACGACGCTCACACGCGTAATCGCCCGGGTGCCGGAGGCACGGGCCAAGAGTTGTTCCTCCTCCCGGGCTCTGGACTGGCACGGCCTGCTGGCCACTCGGGAGTAGCGTACAGTCGGGCCGCTGAACGCCAAGTAAGGAACGAAGCCCCTTCTTTGACGCCAAACCCGCCTGCGTGGACGAGGAACGCTAGAGAAACAGCCATGGAAGGACCTACTACATGTAAGGAACGTCAAGCCCCTTCCCAACCCGAACGGTTCCTTATTCCAGCGTCTTGGCTGTAGCGTAGCGTGCCGCGCTGGCGTCTCCAGAGGCGTCGTCGATCCTCGACCGAGGAGTGGCACGGTGCCTGGCTTTTTCGGCCTGCAGGGCCGACAAACCTGGCACTGTGCGGCGCTCGAGCGGGGCCTCCTTGGGAGTCCGAGCGCGGTGCGGTGTCCGGGCGCCGTTCTCGTGCCCGAGCTCTTTTGTTCCCGCGCGCCCGTTGTGCTCCCGGGCGGGCGCGGGCCCGCTCTTCGTTGCCCCCCCCCCCGGTGCACCAGAGCGAGGGTGAGGCTGCTGTGTTCGTGGTCCTCCCTCGCTTCGGGAGGGCTGTCCCGCGGCGGGGCTGCGGCCGTGCGAGCGCCGTGCCACTCCCGGCTTTTCTCTTGGGTGGGGCCCCTTCGACGCGCGCTCGCCTGGGCCTCCTCAAGCGAGAGAGGGCCCGCTGCTTTCTCCCAGTCGCCCAGTGCTCTGCTCGCCCGTGCGGTGGAGGACTTGCGCTTGCCCTCGACGTGTGCGGAGGAGGAGGGGGGGAGCACTGTGAGGAAGGCACGGGCGTCTCCTTTTCTGCAGAGTGTTGGCCGCGCGGCAGCGCAACGGCCAGACGAAGAACAGGATGAAAGACGAAGGAGGGCTGAACGTGGATAGGGGGAGGAGGAGGAAGAGGAGAGGAGGAGGAGTAGGAGGAGAAGGAGGATAAGTATGCAACATGACTCAGAGGAGGGGGCGAGGGGCGTAAGAGGAGAAGTCGGACGGGGGTGTAAGAGGAGTAAGGATGGAGGGCGGCGGAGAAGTACAGGAAACGAGTTGGAGGGAGGGGGGAGCAGCTCTTCGTGCATGTCAAGTTCGCCACGAGATACCGCAAGGGCCAGAGGAGGAGGAGCAGGAGGAGGAGGATCAGCGGCTACTCTTCTTGGCCGCGAGGCAGCGCAACTGCCAGTCTCGCCTCCTCGTGCACGTCACCCTCCTGCCCATCATCTCCATCCTCCCTCTTCCCGTCGACGCAGGCCTGGCCGACCCGAGCGATGTACGGCCTCTTCCCATTTGAGCCTTAAGCCTCCGCGGCCATCGGGCACGGGCAGAGCGGCAAACGCGCGCCATCACTTGCCAGATGAGCGGCGCAGAATTAACGGTGCCGCCTGTACGGACACTGGCGCGTGAGCTGCCCGCGCAAGGCTGCGCGCACTTGCCCCCCTTTCTAGTGCGGCGTGCCGCGCTGGTGGCCCGCCCGAGCCGCCGCGGAAGGTCGCTGTGCCACCTCGCGTGAGGCTCCTTTCTTCTTGGCATCGCTCGGACGTGTGCACTTTTCCGTCGGCGAGGACCATCGAGGAGCATCCTTGATCATTTGGCGAAAAAAACTACGCACGAACCCCCAAACAAACACAGGAAATGGACGTCCGAGCGATGGCCAGTCTTGTCGTCGCTCAATTGCAATCGCGTGCCAGATGCGCTCTGGACTTTGCGCCGGTTGCGCGTGTGCCCCGTCGGCCGTCCGCCTCGCTGCCGCCCTCGTTCTCCTCCGCAGCGGGGGGCCTCGGGCCCCACACGGCCCCATTGCGCGAACGCCTCCGTGTTTGTTCGGGACGGGGTCCTCAGGCGATTCGCGCGGCAGACGACAGGAAACGCTTTTGCGGAGGGCCCGTCTGTGGATGGGTTTCTCCCTCCTCTCTATCTTTCCTCCAGCCCCCCTCCATCTCCTCGAGCCTCCCTCCCTGCTCGCGCCTTTCCCACCCTGCCAGCCCCAGGCGAGGCCAGAGGCGCACAGCAGAGCCCCGCGCTTTCGGCGTCGGCCCGATAGTGGGTACGATCCTGCAGTCAGCCCAGAGGGATGGCGAGGAGAAGCAGGAGGAGCAGCAGGAATACCAGGTGTCACTCTCGATCACCAGGGGCCATCGATACATTTGCACCAATCATCGTTGAAGCATCGTTGCGTTGGCCCTTTCCTTGCTCGCGCCTGCAGCATTGCTGCAGACGCCGACACTCCAGGCACTGCCACACTCAATCGGAGAGGTACTGTCCTGCCGATGTGATGCGCCTGGCCACTTCTCTGTCTTTCCTCGCTTCGTTCCGCCCTGGGCTCCGCAGCAGCATGCGGCATCCATGGTATATCGTGTGTGCTATGTACCGATCCTTCTTGTGCTTCGTTCGCGAGCTCCTCAAGATGTCTGGTCGCGGTAAAAATGGAGGAGGGGGTGGGAGAGCAGCGAACAGTTTTTGGAGATGCCTGTGGTGGATTGTGCTCTATGGTGTTGTGGATGGTTTGAGGCAGTCGTTAGGTGATCCAGGAGACAATAGTGGATGCGGCGAGAGAGGAAGGTCGAAAAGGAGGAGGAGGCTCGGCACCGTGAGAGTGAGGACACCAAGCTGGTGGGTAAGGTCGAAGACATCCCGCCAATGCAATGAGCGTCGTACTATTGTCTAGGCTACCGCTCTCCCACATCCGACCCTGCTGTGAACTGGCCCATGAGTATAGCTCTGGTGGACTAGGGCTGCGTTCCTTTCGCGTTGTGACAACATCGATTCGACGAGCGGTGTATATATGTATACACTATATATATACACATCTCAGTTCTACGGAAAGACCGCATGATCACGAACGGGTCAAAGAAGAACCATGAGTTCCCAGGCCCTGCGTTCAGCACCCTTCCCGTGGGCATGCACATGCCCGCCACTCTACGCTTGGCCACAGGCCAGGCCGCTCTCGAGTCGATGGTCTAAGCTCTCTTTACCAGACTTCGCTGCGGGCGGGACGGGAAAGTGTGGGGAAGAGGGGCGCGGCTCCTCCTCCTCCTCCGCCTCCTCCGTCTCCTCCTCCTCCTCCTCCTCCTCCTCATCCTCCTCCCCCTCCTCCTCCCCTCCTCCCATGCGCGACGGGGCTCGGAGCAGCAGCCCGGGCGCACGTCGGGCCCGAGAGAAGCGGCACCTTTCTGGGGTGCGTCGGCCGGTGCTCCGTCGGGGCGCAACGCCCGGGAGACCGCAGAGGGAGCTCCATGCGTGCACCAGCCGCGGCACAGCACGGCGGCGGACGGTCGGTCTGCTTGGGATCGAGGGCGTCCAAGGCGGGAATTTGTACATGACCACCGCCTGGAGGGTCTTCTGCACGAGCGAAATGGGCACGGAAAGAATGGGTACAATGCCCAACAGCGGATCTTGTCCAGTTTGAACAGGACTCGCTGTCCACGCCGCCGCGGCCTGTGTCCATTCGAGACAGGGATATGGACATATGCGGGCCCCCGGGGGCCGACAGATGTGCATATCCACCGCCCGCTGGGGCACCAGGACGTCGGTTCCCAGGCGGTGGATATGGAAAACATCCCTGCCTCGCAGGGCAAGCCTGCACGCCGAGCGTGGAGACGCGTTCTTGCGCTGAGGTTCGTGCAGGCGCCCGTGTGTCTGTGGTCGCTTCGGCCCTGGCGCCAGCTTGTTCTCTTGTCGAGGCGCTCCTCTCGTTGGAGCACTGGGCTCGATGCTCGTTTCGGGGACCTTCCTGGAGCCCACCTAATGGATCTGTTCGACTCCAGTTCGACTCAAGTTCGACTCAGGTTCGACTCAAGTTCGACTCAGGTTCGACTCAGGTTCGACTCAGGTTGGCCTCAGGGTCGACCCAACTCGACTGACGTTCGACGCAGCTTCGACGCACGAGTGGAGCGAGTGGCTCCAGGAAGGTCCCCAGAACGAACATCCAAACTGGGGGATGCGCTTGTCAGTTTTCCTCGCTTGGCTGCCCATGGGCAGACGCCGACGCCCGTATTGCCTTCTGAGCTTGCGGCTGCATGGCTCCACGAGGCCAGCAGCTGCCAGAGAACTGAGTGACGTGCCGCCTTTGCCTCGTCGCTCTCTCCATTCTCCATGCCCCTCCCTCTTCCTTCCTGCCCTCCTCCCTGCTCCCTGCTCCGTGCTCCCTCCGCCTACCCCCCCCCTCTACGCCGCCCTCCTCCCCCTTCTCCTCCCTCACCCTCCCTCGTCCTCCTCCCTCTTCTCCGTCACCGTTCTCGCTTCCACGCTTCTCGCTCCTTCTCCCTCCCTCCCGCCCTCCTCCCCCTCCTCCTCCTCCTCCTCCTCCTCCTCCTCCTCCTCCTCCTCCTCCTCCTCCTCCTCATTCCTCCTGCCCGTTCCTGCGTTGTCCTCCTGCCCCTGCTAATCGTCCACCTGGCTGCCAAGGTCAACCCTTTTCTCTGGACAGCTCGCGTTGCCAGAGCCGCCCAAGACCACGACCAAGCCCCGACCACCAACGCCGCCTCCGCTGTCGGCGTGGCCGCAGCCGGCTGCGCCGCCGCCAGTGCCCGCGTCGCCGTGGCCAGCAGCGCTGCAGCCAGCGACAACGTTGAAGCAGCAGCCAGCGCATCAGCCCGCGTCGTTGCAGCAGCAACCACCAGTGCTGTCGTGGCCGATGGCATTGGCGGCAGTGCTGCCAGGCGCCAGTGGCGTTGTCCTACCGCAGACAGCGACGCCAGCGCTGGCGCAGCCGCCAGTGCTGCCTCTGCCTCGGTCCGCTTGGCCAGTACCGCCAGTGCCGCCAGTGCTGCCAGCGGCGTCGCCGTCGCAGCCGTCAATACCACTGCTGAAGGCGGTGCCGCCACAGCAAGCGGCGGGGTTGCCGCAGCCGGCGGCACCGCCCCAGTCGGCAGTGCCGCCGCAGCCGCAGCAACTGCCGCAAGTGGGGTCGGAGCAGGCGCGCGAGGAGACCTTCCGGAAGCTCCGACAGGAGCTGGAAGATACGCTGCGGCCTCCTCCACCGCGCCGCCCTCCCGACGTCGACGCCGGCGAGCTCCGCCAGGCCCAGGGCCTGACTGCAGTGAAGCGCGCACTCCAGCGGTGCACCGCCCCGCCGGAGCGCTGCAGCGCTCCAGCGGCAGAGAAGTACCGCACGGAGAAGTGGAGCGACGAGGCCGCGCAGAGGTGGCTGGCAGCGCGGAAGCGCCCTGCGGACGCCCGAGATGGCAGCCGGCTCCTGGCCAGAGACAGCAGGCACAGCCCAGACGCCGCGGCTCGCCCTCGGCCGCGGCGCAGGCACAGCGCGTCCCGCGGCCGCTCCCCTCGCCGCCAGGATCGAGTCGGGCGTGCCCTTTTACGGGGGGAATATTCAAGAGTAATAAAACACATTGTCTGGGGACGTGTTCCCCCCCCAAACCGGACTCCCGGGATCTGGGGCTTTGGGAACCTCCAGACGGGCCTCGAAGCGGCCCCCGGGCCTCGCAGGGCGTTTTGCCGAGTCTTCCCAGCACACCTAGGGCGATCCGGGGGGTCATCGGAGACGTCCCAGAGACCCCCAAGACAGGACACGAGCGCTCCAAGAGTGACCGACGTGACCTCCGGATGGCCCAAGAGGCCTCCAGGACGGGCCCGAAGAGGCCTCCAAGAGCACTCCCAAGAAGGCCCCCCGAGGCAAAAATCATTGATTTTCTATTGGTTTTTGGTGAAGTCTGCGGTTCTCCTCTATTCGGCTTCCCGACGCTCCAAGACGGCGGTCTTCTGGGCGTTCGAAGCCGCCTGGGGGGCTCCAAAATCGCCCCACAACCATCCGAAAGGGCTTCCAGGCAGTCCAAGAGAGCCCCAAAACCGCACAACACGGGTCCAAGATGGCCCTTAGAGAGCCCCATGGCGGCCCAAGATGGCCCAAAGACACCCTCCGAAGCGTTCCGGATCGTGACTCGGTCGTTCAGGGAGACCGCGGTTGGAGGCAGGGTGGCCCGAGGAAGCCCCCGGAGGCCCCCAGAATACGCCCAGGAGGCCTCCATAAGGCCTTCAGAAGGCCTGAAACAACTTTTGTGCGGCCCCCAGAGGCTCTCCAAGGAGGAGCCTCCGCAAAAAAGAGCTGAGGAGGATGGGGAGTGTGCGCAGGGTATGGCGAAAATGAGGAAACAGAAGCACTGAGAAAGGATAACGAAAAAACATAGTATAGCGGCGATGTCGGACAAGGCAACAAGGAGTTATCGCTAAGTTGTCGGCTTGACCTTCCTGCTATTCCGCCTGCGTACCAAGCTTCAAGGACCGAGGTGCTTGGCCCGAAGCGCCACTGCAGTCTTGTATATATATAGATATATATGTATAGAGGGTGTGTGTGTGTGTGTATATATACATAGAAGTATATTTATATGTATAGTATTTTGTTGGTTGGGGGTATGCTGTTGGATCTTCCGCCCCAAATCCGCCTGTAGGAGGACACGCCCGACCCAACGCCAGGACCGCCGCGGCTGCAGCCGCAGCCGCCGGGGGCCCGAGGGCCGCGCCCGCAGCCGCAGCCGCAGCCGCAGCCGCAGCCGCAGCCGCAGCCGCGGCCGCGGCCGCGGCCGCGGCCGGCCCCGCAGCGCGAGCGCGGGCGCCCGGCGCAGCGGCTCGCGGCGGCGGGCCCGCGGCAGCCCGAGGTCGGAGGGCACCAAGTATACACCAACGCCGATCCTGGCCCAGGATCACCGCGCTTCCTCCTCTTCGTCCTTCTCCTCTTCCTCCTCCTCCTCCTCCTCCTCTTCCTCCTCCTCATCCTCCACGCCTCCTTCCTCTTCCCTCGTGGGCCCAGGATCGGTGTATACGCCCTCCTGCCTGGGGCAGGAAGGCATAGACACCGATCCTGGGCCCAGGGTGATCCTGGCCTGGCCAGGATCGGTGCAGGTGTATAGTTGGTGCCCCCCCACGAGGGGCCGCGCGAGCCGCAGCGCCTCAGGCCGCCGCGCGGCGCGCGGCGAGTCCCGAGGCCGGCGGCGGAGTGCGAAGCCCACGCTCGCCGCCCAACGAACGCTGCAGACAGCTCGGCGGGCAGCACTTCGTCGGGCGGGCCCCCCTCTCCACGAGGAGTGTTCAGAAGCAGTCCAATGGATTCTCCGGGGACGACGCTTCGATTATTCTTGGAGCATTCCCAGGGCATTCTTGTTTTTCGCCCAAGATCTGCCTGCAGGGGGGCACGCCCGACCTCATCCTACGCTCGCCGACCAACGATGCAGACAACTCGACGGGCAGCGGGGGCAGGGCTCGGAGTTGCGTCGGGCGCGTGTTTCGCAGTCCGAGCCTCCCAGGGCTCGAGCTCAGCGGTGTTCTGGCGACTTCGTGGACCGTTCTCGTCGTGCCTTCGCCTCGCAGCAGAGGCAGGACGAGTAGACAGCGCGCAGGAAAGCAAGAAGAACACGAGCACAAAGAACACAGCTTAGCTTATGATGTTCCACCAGAAAGAATTCCGAGCACTAGAACAATTACCGAAACTCGAGGGTTTTCTTCACGTGTCGCGCCCTGGGAGACCCTCGCCCGACACCGTTTCGACACCGTTTCGACAATTTTACAGGTGCTGGACAGTCATTTCTGGGATGCTGTCCTTGAGTGGGGGGCAACACGCGAACCCTACCCCTACCCCCCACGATTTCTGAGGGGGAGGGTGGGGCTCACTTCGTTCGGGAGCTCCCGAGTGAAGTGAACCCCACCCTCCCCCGCAGAACTCGTGGGGGGTAGGGGCAGGGTTCGCGCGTGGCCCCCTGTTGAGTGCGATGGGAGCAGCATGAAGCCCAGCACGAGCCCTGCCGAGCCCCGCCCTCCTCCCACCGACAACGGGAGGATCGACGGTCGGCGGGCGTGGAGAGCTCGGATGCCGCCACCCCGCCAGGAGCACGCCGGGCTCCATCGCAGCCGGCCGCCGCGCCCACTCCGCCGGGGCGGTCCCCGAGCCGGGAGGCCCAAGCAGGGGTTCAAGTACCTCATTGATTCACCCCAGCGTTGATAGTCCTGTCGAACCTACGAGAAAATATACACAGCGTTCACTCCCAATTCATCGACAATTCTTTGATTCTCCGGGGGCCAAGATCCTTTCATTCATAGTTGTCTCATCCGGGGCCTCTTGCTGGTCACTAGGGGGCCAGGAGCAATTAGAAACGAGCACAATTAGAAATGAGCACGATTAGAAGTGAACGACGTGTACCTTGGATGTTCGTAGCTCTATGATCCGCGAAGATGTGATTTCCTCTCCGACGAGAAAATCAGGTCTGGGGTACATCGATTTGTGGCGGCGAGCGAGGGGGGAAGTGAGAAGGAGAAGGCCCTCTCAGAAGGCGGCTGGACTTCTCAGAAGGCCTCCGGGCTGCTGAGAGGTGTGCTGTTTCCTCGGGGAAGGCTTAGAACACTTTCCAGAAAGCCCGGGAACTTCCGAGCCTTCTGAAAAGGCTCGCCCCTTCTCATTTCTCGAAGGCCTAGAGGTCGACATCAACACCAGTATCGGCGGTGTGCCTCCACCGAGGGAAGAATATCCCGATCTCGGTGATGGTGGTAATACTCTGGCTTCCAAGGTGACCGAAAGGTTAGCACCAGCACCGAACTCTAGGATCGTCTTCCTCCGGTGGAGGCAGCTCCCTGTCTTGGTGTTGGTGCCCATTTCCAGGCCTCCAAATTTCCCCCCCTGGCGCGCCGTCTAAATTGCGTACAGTCAAAAAGGCTTAATAAGGACGCGCGACTTTGCTCAGGGTACCCTTGCGTCCTTGCTCTTCCTTGCCTTGCTCTTGCGCCCTTGAGGCTTTCGTCGTCCGCCGCCCCGAAAATCCCAACGTCGGCGTCCAAGGGTCTTGCGCCCTTACCGCGCGTCCTTATTAGGAGGAGGGGGAGGAGGAGGAGGAGGAGGAGGAGGGGGAGGGGGAGGGGGAGGGAGGAGGAGGAGGAGGAGGAGGAGGAGGAGGAGGAGGAGGAGGCGCAGGGGAGGAGAAGGAGGAGGAGGAGGGGTGCTGGTGCCCATTTCCAGGCCTCCGAATTTCCCCCCCCTGGCGCGCCGCCTAAATTGCGCAGTCGCTCTCCAGCTCGAGAGGCGTCGGTGAGCCCGCCGCCCCCGCCGCCGGCCTCGCCGCGCGGCGGCGGCGAGGGGGGCGCCGCCGCCGAGGGCGCCGCCCCAGCCGCGGCGCGGCCGCCGCGGCCGGGAGGCCCCCCCGCGCGCGCATCCTGCCCGCAGACCTCCTCGGGGAAGCGCACAACGACACGAAGATCGGGACAAAAAATCGGATCGGGGTAACTCGAAATCTCTGAGCATCGGCGGGTTCGGAGGATGTATTTTGGGCGCCGCGGCCGCTCCAGAGCGTTCCGGACCGCTCTGAGAGCGCTCCGGAACGCTCTGGAGCGATTTGTCCCGATCCTAGCACTGTTTTAGGGTGCCCTCGGCTCCCGGGGCCCTCTCGCGCATCGAGCCAGCTCGAGACATGACGTGTGCAGAGTCGGCCCCCCAGATCAGCAGGCCGACCCTGCCAAGTCAAGGGCACCCTCGTGCCCCGTGCCTCGCGACCCATGCCTCCTGCATTCCCGCGGCGAGGTGGCCCTCGGGAAGGGTCTCGGGTCCTCTCGCGTGTCCTGTCCAATCGAGTCCGACTGGACAGATGGGGCCCGCGTCTCCGGTCGTGGCTTCTCCCGGTGTTGCAGCTGTCTCCGCAGCGTCCGATCTCAGGGGCGGGCGGCGCCGTTCGCCGGCCACGCGCGCAGGGCTCGGCGTCGCTCGGGTGCGTGCCTTTTTTTCTTCTCGGCGAGGGCCATCGAGGAGCGTCCGGGATCATCGTGCGAAGGCCGAGCGCACGAAGCCGAAAGATGCACGGGGCTGGGGCTTCCGAGCGATGGCGAGGGGCAGGGGGAGGGGGGAGGGCTTCTCAGAAGTACCCCTGCTTCTTACAAGGCGCGGGCCTGGTCTTCCTGTATAGTATATAGCACGTGTATGTATGCAGATTCATGTATGGTTGTATGCATGCATGCATGCATGTATGTCTATATGTATTCATGTATGCATGCCTGCCAGCCTGCCTGCCTGCCTGTCTGTCTGTATGCATGTACGTATGTAAGTATGCATGCATGCATGCATGCACGCACGCACGCATGTATGTGTGTGCGCATGTACGTATGTATGTATGTATGTGTGTATGTATGCATATATGTATGTATGTATGTATGTTTGTATGTATGTATGTATGTATGTATGTATGTATGTATGTATGTATGTATGTATGTATACACGTATGCATGTACGCATGCATGCATGTATGTATGTATGGTTGTATGTATAGATGTATGTATGCATGCATGCATGTATGTATACATGTCTGT